ATTGCCAACTGTATATTTCACTTTCATTTCTTCACAGTGAGAAACCCACATTAGACTGTGGATGCGTCGGTTTGATCCAGGAACGCGCCTGGTGACGGGAGGCGTGACAGCCCCTGCCGGGTCATATGAGCGTCATCCGCAGCTGCGGGGCCAGAGAGCAGCGGCAGGGACACCGCAGCGCCATGTCACCGGCTATCAGCAGCGGCCCATCGGGGAAAACGGGAGGAATTTAACCGCTAGAATCCAGCACCGATTGGCACATCGACAGGTACGGTTACCGAAAGGCGAAAAGTTCAATTTCAACCGCGAAAATACCAACTTTCTGTGGGTTTAATTGGATTAGGAAAGTCGGGAATGTGCAACTACCAGCGCGCCCATTATCGGACAGCAACAGTTTTAGGAGAGGCTTCCATTATCGGACAAGCTCAGACTTCTCTTTAAAAGGATTTGTCTCCAGATTTTGACGTCGACTAAATACGCGTAACAATAATAACATTTTCATACGTCATGTGCGCCGATTCTGCAGAGATGAACACCTAATTTGAGAGTTTATGGCTATGTTTCATCGAGGTGTTTCCTTTAACTGTTTAATGCTGTTTTGTCAGCAAGTGGTACAAATGACAACATTATTCATAATAATAATAATAATAATAATAATAATAATAAAAAGAAACTATGAAAAACATAAGCGTTACTCGAGGTTTCCTGCGTGTCCGAAAATGGATCTAGTGCGTGTTTGCCAGCTGGAAAGCCCCAGAATGCTGACTCTGCGCTGTCATTATAATGTAGTAACTTATAGTGCAAACGCTTCCTGTGCCTCTCACGGCGACGTTTACAGCCTACACACAGCCAGCTGTCTGAGAGGGCTTAACTGGTATCACATGTGGCTGCAGCTGTTTCAGCTCTTCGTGTTGTTTACGGATATAATACTGTCAATTATTAGCTCTCCCTCAGCTGAGGTGTGTCACCTGAACGGCCTGTGCTGCCGTGACTCACGGCTGATGATTACCCTGCTGACTGAGCATAATGGCTGCTGCTTTGATTTGAAGATGCAGGATACAAGGTTGTTTTATTTTGAAGGCTCAGAAGTGCAACATTGGGAGGAAACGCACATTTTCATGGAGGAAAAATAAAGACGCGCACACACAGACACACACAGACGCATAGCAGCCCTCTCTTCAAATTGTATCCTGCTGAATGAAGCACATGACTCTTGAGTGAGTGACTGTGTGTGTGTGTGTGTGTGTGGGTGGGTTCTTTCCCGTTTCTTTTTTCTGCTGCATTGCTGCTTTTAGAACTGTCACAGGTTCTTTGAGCAGCTCTGTGCTTAAAGTTTTAATTGCAAAGACATTATTTGCCCCACTTTGGTCCTTCAGCCTATTTTTCAGCGCTGGTGACTCTGCAACTCAAACTTTCCTATGGAGCGGTGGGTTTAGTCCGTTCTTCCCCTAAACTGTTGCAGACAGCACGTGATTTTTACATGTAGGACATATTATATAACAATGCTCAGAAACGTGTCTGAGCAATAACTTAAAGTCACAGTCATGGTTATTTAGAGCCGTTAGCAAGCACCGTCACCTGGAAGCAGCATCATGGACATGTGGAACAGCCGCTGTTTTGGTTCCTTTACTTCA